CCCAAAAAAATAAATAAACGTTAAAAAAAAATTAAAAAAAAATAACTTTAAATTAATATTGCTTTAATTTAAGGTTTTCTGTTCTCAAATGTCTATATGGTAGAGACCATTTTTACATGGGATTGAATTATATAAACTTATCATAACTTATTGCTTTATAATAATAATAAACATGTATTTATTATAACAGTTTCTTACCACAGAAAATCTATGAAAATTTTAGTATAATCCTATCACAGAAAACTGATTTACCATTATGGTCACTTATTATTACTTAAAAACACAAAATAACGTGTTATGAAAAATACAGAATAATTTAGGATTTTTGTTAAAATTACCATGAATTATTATTTCTAGTTCCTTAATCCCAAAGATTAATATCACTTTGGGACTTGGAAACATTATTAGAGAGTGGTCTTTTGTGTATCTACTACAGGTTTTTCTTCTGTGGTTACCATGAGGTTTATATTAAATATCTTATAGTTATAACAACCCATTTCAACCTGATAACAACTTAACTTCTATAGCATATGAAAACTAGATACTTTTACTTCTTTCCCTTTCATCACATTTTAGGCTATTAATGTTACAGTTTACATCCTTTGTATACAATAATGAATTATTGCAGTTGTAGCTATTTTTAGTGTTTATTTTTCTTTAACTTTTAAACTAGAGTTGTGATTTACACACCACCATTACCATGTTAGGGAATCTAATTTAACTATATTTACCTTTACTGATGATTTTTATACATTTGTTTTTCCAATGTTAATTTTTTTTTATTTTTTTTTCAACATTTATTTATTTTTTGGGACAGAGAGAGACAGAGCATGAACGGGGGAGGGGCAGAGAGAGAGGGAGACACAGAATCGGAAACAGGCTCCAGGCTCTGAGCCATCAGCCCAGAGCCTGACGCGGGGCTCAAACTCACGGACCGCGAGATCGTGACCTGGCTGAAGTCGGACGCTTAACCGACTGCGCCACCCAGGCGCCCCTTCCAATGTTAATTAACATCACTTCAATTTAACTAGCAGAACACTGCTCAGTATTTCTTATATGGCAAGTCTAATGGTGATAAACTCCCTCCGTTTTATTTGTCTGGGAAAGTATTTTTCTCTCTTTCATTTCTGAAGGATAACTTTGCTGGACATAGCATTCTTGGTTGATAGGATTTCTTTTCTTTCAATATTTTGAATAAATCATCTCACCCACCCTGGCCTGCAAAGTTTATGCTGATAAATCCTCTCATGGCCTATTGGGTGTGCCCACATAGGTGATGAGTTGTTTTCCTATGGCTGCTTTCAAATTTTCCTTTTTATCTGACTTTTGACAATTTAATTATAATGTGTCTCAGTTTAGCCCTTTTAGGATTGAAACTTTTGGGGGTGTTTTGAGCCTCATGAATCTGGATGTACATTTATTTTCCTAAGTTTCAGAGTGTTTCAATAGAAAGCCCAGTTTTCAATAGTTGAAATACATTCACTTCCTCTTTTTCTCTCTCTTCTCCTTCCAGGATTCCTATAATGCATAAATTTTATTTTATTTTGCTGATGCCCCATAAATTCTATAAATTCTCTTCACAGTGTTTCATTCTTTTTTCCTTTTTGCTCCCCTGACTGGATAATTGCCAATAGAAATTGGAAATTGATCTTCCTTCTGCTTTTTGAAGTCTGCTGTCAAAGCTCTCTGTTGAATTCTTTAGTTTAGTCATTGTATTCTTCAGCTTTGGTATTTCCACTTAGTTTGCCTGATGATTTCTATTTCTTTGGTAAAATTCTCATTTTGTTGATAAATCCTTTCCCTAATTTCATTTAGTTGTCTGTTTCTATATTCTTGTAGTTCACTGAATTTCTTTAAGAGGATTATTCTAATGTTTTTGATAGTTCAATGATCTCCACTTTTCAGGGTCATTTAGGGGAGCTTTATTAGTTCTCATTGGTGGCGTCATATTTACTTGACTCTTACCTCATATCCTTGTGTTGGCATCTGTGTTGCATCCACGCGACTCCTGAAACAGAATGCTACGGGCACCAGTGACAGTTGCAACAAAGTTTATTACAATAAGAGGCAGGGCCGACCGATCGGGACCAACACTCTTGATAAAAGTGTGGCCCCGAACAGCCGGGGTACAGAGTTTTTAAAGTCGATCACGTCGTTTTATCATTATCTGGGAACAGAACAGGGCAACAGTTCCCAGATGAGTTAGAAACAGTTGCCAGATGAGTCAGAAACAGTTATCGAATGAGGTGATTATTTTAGATTTTCTGCCGCTAAATTGCAACCAGTGGATCTCCCTGACCTTGTCTCTGATGCTCTTTTTTGAGATTTTGTTTCCTTCATTGGTAAAGCCTGATTCACAAGAGTATGAAATATGATTTACAAGAGTAAAAGCAAGGTTGTTATCTTTTGACCTTCAGTGTCAGAACAAAGTTGTTATCTTTCAAGCTAAGCGTTAGCCCTACAGTACAATTTAACCTTTACAATATGCATATTAGTAAACAGTCTCCTCATCCAGATTTTGTAGGTTTTGTTTCATCCAGGAAAGGCCTTCACCAACCAGCTCAGCTTAGGGTACTGGATCAGCTCGTAGCATCTGTGAGCAAATGGAGCTTGCCACGTCTAGTTGAGTGAGGCCACTGCCCTTGCCCTTGCCCTTGGCAGGATAGAGTTTGTCGCTGGTTGAGTTGGCCTTCAGGCTGGACTCTGTATTCAAGTAGTGCTGCTATGTGTACTACCTGGTTGGGCAAGACTTCTGGGTTGTTTTCCATGTTTAGATGATGCCATTCTCTGGGGTCTGCAGTCACCTCTGGTTGGGTACGGTTGTAGGCTGTGTTCCCCACAGGACAGTGCCACTGGTGAGATTTTGCAATGGGATAGGGTTTTGGGCTACACTCTGCAATCCTCCCTGTTCAGGTAATGCACCTCAGGCTGTCCTCACCAACCTGGATGTTATAGCTGCCTAGACTCTGCATTTAGGCACAGCCACAGGTCTGGACTCCATGGTCAGATGGGCCTCAGTTTGTGTTCTGCAATTAGGGCAGCAGACTGTGTCTCTAATACTGAGTAGGCTTGTAGGTTGGGCCTGGCAGCTGGGTGGTTACCATAAGCTGGGCTCCAAAGCTCCTCAGGGAATTTCAGGCTCCCTGCCTGTGTGGGGTTAGAGGCTATGTTCAACAGTTGGGCAGGGCTGTTGGCATGGCTCCCTGCCAGGCAGAGCCCTAAGATATCTTCTGCTGATTTAGGGTGTTGTGGCCACTATCCCCAGAGCAGTGGGTCTGGATGCTATGCTCAGCGGTTGAACAGAACTTTGAATTTATTCTTCTGTTCAGGCAAGGCCATAAAATGTGCTTCACAGCCAATGTGGCCCTGTGGCTGGAGAACCAAATTAGGCTGAAATGCCAACCAACCTTCCTGGCCTGACAGGGTCACTGGCTTGAGTCTGCTGATCCACAGAGCTGCTGGCTAGGATCTCTGCTCAGGTGCTGCTGCAAGCAGGAATGAAACCTGCCAAGATGTAAATGCTGGATGCTTTAAGCCACATTCTGCTTATCTGCCTCTACCTTAACCCCAGTAGCTGAGCTTCACAGATTCTCCTCATGATCCCTGTGAGGAAGGACCCAAGTGGGCCTCCTAGGAAGCATCCCACAATGCTGGGGAAGTTGGATGTCCACCTTAGTTCCTCTTTTTCCCACTGGAGATACTGTAGGGCCAAGGAGGCCCTCCCAGTATGGCACTGTGCCCTTCCGGGGAGGGGCAATGTGATTAAAGTGAAACCATTCCTCTTACCTTTCAAATGCAGTCCGGCTCAGGCTCTATTGTACAGGGGTACAGGCGAGTGCTACAGCCCCATCCCTGGATGCTGCAGTTTCACAATGGTGCCCTTTCTATGCATACTGGCTAGTTGGTCTTCATATTAAAAGGACTGAAGTTAGGACTAGTATAATGACCTATATTACATCTTGATGATGTCATCCTTTAAGCTCCTTTAAGCTATTATTCTTAAAATGAAATTTTAAAATACACAAAGCAGGGTCATCTGGGTGACTCAGTCGGTGAAGCATTCAACTCTTGATTTCAGCTCAGGTCATGAGCTCATGGTTTTGTGAGTTCCAGCCCCGTGTCAAACTCTGTGCTGACAGCATGGAGTCTTCATGGGATTCTCTCTCTCTCTCTCTCTCTCTCTCTCTCTCTCTCTGCCCCTCCCCCATTCATGTTCCCTCTCCCTCTCTCTCTGTCTCTCAAAATAAATAAACTTTAAAAAAATAAGATAGAATAAAATAAAATACACAAAGCAGTAATTCCTTGATAATCTTGACCTTTGTTTTATGTAAAAATACTCCAGACATAAAACATGTTTCATTTTGCATTTTTCTTGATTGGATTTTTAAGAGTGGCTCTAAAAGTATCTTCAAGTTAGACATTGTAGTATATATTCTTTCATAGAAGTTTATTTCCTTTTGTAAAAGTGAAAATCTCTTTTCTCCTTGCTCTGATTTTGGTTTTGTCATTGAAGTTAATACTGCTTTTGCTAATTCATAGTTTAAATCAATTTCTGATTTCATTTAGAGAATTCCACACAATGCTCACAACTTTTTCTCTTCACCTGTCCTCCTTTAAAGTACTTAAGGTGCACCTGGGTGGCTCAGTCGGTTGGGCATCCAACTTCGGCTCAGGTCATGGTCTCATGGTTTGTGGGTTCAAGCCCCACATCGGGCTCTGTGCTGACAGCTCAGAGCCTGGAGCCTGCTTCGGATTCTGTCTCTCCCTCTCTCTCTGCCTCTCTCTCTCTCTCTCTCTCTCTCTCTCTCTCTCAAAAATAAGTAAACATTTAAAAAAAGGGTTTTTTTAATAATAAAGTATTTAAAAGAACTGTGGCCTACAGAGAACATTCAAACCCTGTAAACAGTCTGTATTCAAGTACCAGAAGATTATTGAGCTGTATTCAAGTACCAGATTGATTATTCAGATGGCCTAGCAAGGCGACAGCACTACACAGAATATCACACGTCAAAATTGCTAATTTAATAACTTACTTTGTTTTCAGAATTTGCTGTTTCTTGGAATGCCATTTAACTGTCTTGGAACTCCACACATAAGTTTTGTGTATTGTGTGTTGTTAAGTATAAACTTATGCCTTTTTTTTTTTTTTTTGCAAGAATGACTCACCATTAGTGGCAGACAGGGTCAAGACCATACACTTATGAAATGGCAGTAACTCCAAGCATGACTGACTGATGAGATCATGACCACCTTTCTCCATCACGTTCCTGTCCCTCCTCCCTCAGGTTAGATGACTGCTGTTCAAGTGTCCAGAATAGTTGCTCTCTACCTTCCCTGGTTCTCAGACTCCACGATTCTCCGGTGACCCACGCCAGTTAACACATTACACAAATGCACAAAAGTGGGCATAAGCCAACTTGTCAGCCTTCCTGAAACAGAGGACAAAATTATACATTTAATTATATATTTATTCCACTTTCAGAGTAGTTGAACCCCAGAAAAAAATTGCCCAGGGAGACACATTACACTGGAGGTTTGAAATATTGGATTGGGGAACTATGTGAATGCTTGTATATCACGTCAGGAAAGGAAATCAAATGACCTTGAAGCCACTTAGAGCCTTAAAATACTGCTAAGGTTTTGATGCCAGGGATTAGCCTGTTAAGCCACTGCCACTGGCTGTAAGCATTATGATATTTTGAGGCTGATATGAGCCTCTGTACTGTTCAGGGCTTAGTTACCATTGAAAAAAGAAAAGTCAGATTAAGCTGTCAGACCCACAAAATTAACATGTGCACCTAATTGGCTTAGTTTATTATTATTATTATTCATACAATTACAATTTGTGTCTATAGAAAATATGGCCATTATTTTTAAATTGCTATTTTGGAAAGGCAAGTTATCAATATTAGCATTGTGACAGAAGTAAAGAAAATTCATAAAATGTACAGAAATACAGCTAAATCCAAAATGGGCATATCAGTACATAAGTAGGAACACATTTTCAAGTTTCTTGATATGCTTGGCCTCTATCCCATACCACTAATTACTTCTTAGCTCAAATGGGCAAAATCGTTAGCAATTTGCTTGGCAAAAGGTGAAAAGAGATGTTTCTTTTTTTCTTTCCCTGTGGAAAATTGTCTGCATTGTACTGCAATGCTGAGCAAGTTATTCTTAGCAGCACGTCTCCTCAGACATTTTATGGCAGCTTGGGGAATATTAAATGTATGATTAATAAATAATTACAACTATGTGTCCAATCTTTAGCTCCATATTCAAAAGGAGCTTTGACTGTGTGAGGCATTTGAGAGGGTTTCTGAAAACAATATATTTATACATTTTAATTTAGATTTATTCCAGCGTTAAAGTACAAATATTTACATATTCTGAGCATATTTTACATATAGAATTATTTTAACCATTATCAGTATACAACTACCTCCAGGGAGAAATGCAGTAAGGAATTTAGCAGCAGGAAAACATAGTAAACAACAATTTAGGACAGAAGGTAAAGAGCATCGTAAACATGGAGAATCTGAAATTAGAGAAAGAATTTTTAATTAGGTGGAACGTAATCACTCAGCTGGAATTTGTCTATGTTACCAAAACAGGAGCATTTCGTTATTGTTGCAAAAGTGCTTTCAAGATATTTCATTAACAAACCAAGCAGAAAATCTTATTTCAGTCTTTCAGTCTTATTCACTGCCTCTCTCTCTCTCTCTCTCTCTCTCTCTCTCTCTCTCTCTCTCCACCTAAGAATACAGTGCAATATGAGCTTAGCTTATCTCTTATTGTGCAGTGATATGATATTGGAATGATTATATCATTTGCAGCATGCTATAATCATGGTGAGCTTAGTTCCTGCATTTTCTGAAAAACTCCCAAATTCCTACTTGATCAATTCTATATGTTATCTTTAGGTTCCAAAGTTAAGGTCACTACTTGACTATAAAACAAAAAGCTGTCCCTGGATAAGAGAACACTTCTAGTTCCAGCTATACCACTCAGTTTGTGCTCAAAAATGTTTCTTAAGCACTTTGGGTTGCAGTCCCTACCCCCCTTTTTATGCAAAGGCATGAATGCTAGAATACCAAACAGCCTCATTCCATGACTTAACTAGTATTAAGCAGCATGGCATAGCAGTTAAAAACAGACTGGCATTTGTGTGCTTGAACGTGAATCCCAGCTCTGCTAATCCCAGCTCTGTGTGACCCTGGGCAAACGATTTAACCACTCTGTGCTTCACCTTCCTCTGTAAAACAGGCTTGATGATAATGGTAATTTCTCATGGAGTTATTATACGAGGCTTTGATCAGTGGATACAAATGAAGCACCTAGAACAGTGCAGAAGAGTAAAGGTGATACATGTATTGGTGAAATAAACACATGTGAGAAAGGACAACATATGAACTCAAATTCTCTATTAATTCAGTTATTCAGCTGATGTGCTCTCTTTGTACTCCAGCTCATACACCCCTAACAAATGGGTTTGTTCTGTATAACTATGAGGAAAAGAAGTAGTGAAGTTAAGAAACTTGCCCACAGTCTCAGCTAATCAGTAACACTCACTATTTAAATCCTTATATGTCCGATTTCAAATCTGTGCTATCTCAACTCTGCTTCCCCAAGGTACCTAGAGATTTTGCAAGCTGATTATTAACCCTATTATAATATGTCTTGGCTCTAAATTCATTGTAACAAGCATAATTTTTGCGCATGAGGTAACTGAAAAGCAAATGTTTGCCTTCTCACAATAAAGAATATGGATGGCAGAACCAGATTCTAGAGCAAGACTGCCTATGTTCACAATATCAGCACTACCACTGTCTGCATGACCATGGGGAAGGTTATTTAAATATTAAATTAATTAATAAAAATAAAGCATTAGAGGAGTGCCTGGGTGGTTCAATCAGTTAAGCATCCAACTCTTGATTTCAGCTCAGATCAGGATCTCATGGTTTATGGGATGGAGCCCCCCACTGGGCTATGTGCTGACAGCATGGATCCTGCTCAGGATTCTCTCTCTCCCCCTCTTTCTCTGTCTCTCCCCAATTTGTGTGCATGCACATGCTCTCTCTCTCTCTCTCTCTCTCTCTCTCTCTCTCGCTCTCTCTCTCAAAATAAACTTAATAAATAAATAAATAAATAAATAAAGCATTAGAATAGTGCCTGGCACATAGGAATCACTGTAGAAATGTTTCTTGTTAACACACTTATCATAACTACTACTATTCAGGAGGCCTGGGATGGCCATGTTAGAGAAGAGATGTTTAATGGTACTTCATTAATATAATTATGGTCCCACAGAAATAAGTAAATGTGTTTCCAGCTTTCATTCAAATAGAAAGTCATTCTTCTTGTCAAAGGGATTTAATCTTCCTTCTTTACAAACCATTGCTCTAGTGTTAAGGACATTGATGCCTGAAGAAAGACACTTACAATGTTCAGCTTAGAGATACACACAGCTGGGGATTATACAGGCCCAACTAAAAATAAAAATGTTAAAAGGAGGCAAAGCTTTCCACAGAAACTAGCTGTTAAAGAGTCATTATCTAATAACTAGTCTTGATCAAGTACATAAACAAAACACTAAAACTGAATGGCAGAGGTCTGACTGACCTGGATGGATGAGAAAAATGTCATGTGCAGGAGGTGAAGACTGGAACAGAGGCATCCCCTTGGCCACACCTGGTCAAAGCCTATGGAAAGCAATGAGCAAAGAACAAGAGAAACCTGATTTCAGAAATCTTATATAGTCTTAAAAGTTTGTCATCTGGGACCGCCTGGGTGGCTCAGTCAGTTAAGCTTCCGACTTCCACTCAGGTCATGATCTCTCAAGCCCCTCATCGGGCTCTGTGCTGACAGCTCAGAGCCTGGAGCCTGCTTCGGATTCTGTGTCTCCCTCTCTCTCTGCCCCTCCCCTGCTCACACTCTGTCTCTCTCTCAAAAATAAGCATTAAAAAAATTTTTGGGGGGGTGCCTGGGTGGCTTAGTCAGTTAAGCGTCCGACTTCAGCTCAGGTCATGATCTCACAGTTCGTGAGTTCAAGCCTCATGTCAGGCTCTATGTTGACAGCGTGGAGCCTGGAACCTGCTTCAGATTCTGTGTCTCCCTCTCTCTCCGCCCCTCTCCCACTTGCTCTCTCTCTCTCAAAAATATAAACGTAAAAAAACCTTTTTTAAGTTTATCATCTGTTTATAAACAGTATATAGCTCTTAGTACAGAATGTAGCCTTAGTTATTGTCCATATTCACAGAATCCTAAATCTAAAAGTCCTTTCAGCTGTTGTAAAAGAAAGTGGCCCAAATAGGTTGGACCTCACTCAGCTGTTAAATTGAGATTCTGGTGTTCATACTGTACAAAAAGCTAGCACTTGCAATATTGTCTCTTAATAAGGCTTATTTCTGAGTGGGCTTTTCTTAGATTTGTCTTGGTCGAGTTTTAGTTTCCCATTTGCTTTTTCTTTTGTTTTCAGAAGAGGAAAAAACTTGAACAGATTTGTTGAGAGACTCAGTGAATGGGTCACTAAGAGGATTGTAGATTTTAATAGACTTTTCTCTTGCCTTCCCACGCAGCTAGCTATTTCCTAAAACCCTAAGTTTGAAGGATTTGAAATAGAACTTTAAATATTATAGAGCTGAATCATCAAAGGGTTTTAAACCTGCCACTGGATGAAGGACAGAAAAAGGACCATCTGATCTAATGCCATGAATTCTTAGCACTGAGGATGGTTCCCTGGAGCAGAACAGTGAAAAACAGGAAAGGAAATGCTTAATTGAACCAAAATAGGCTACTATGATACACATGGAAAGCAAAGCTTTAAAATGACAAATTAAAACAAAGGGCAAAGAAAGTAAAGGTGACGTTAACTTTCTTTCCTGGAGGCTGCTAATTTATCTAGGGCAATGGCTCTCTGATGCTAGAATAAGCACTGGTACATAATGATGTTTTCGATGGTTCCCCACAAAGTGAGGACAAAGTGGTGAGTTTCTTCATTATGTGTATTTTTTTTTAATTTAAAGAATTATTCCTTATTCTGGGAGTGTGTTCTATTAGCTTTGTTTTGTATTAAAATATCCTTTAATTGGAAGAGGTGATGATATCATATGAGAGTTTATTTTTTCATTCCAAAGCCCTTACTGCTCAAAATTAAGGCTCCACAACACCATGTTCTCCCCCAATATACATATATATATATGTATATATATACACACACATATATACAGCAACTAAATCAGTCCTTTTCCAGAGGTGAATCAGAATTCCCTTAGAAGTAGTTTCAAAATAGACACTGCCACTCCCCTTCTGTTGTGAGCTCTCAAAAGGAAAGTGGAAGGAAGAGGAAGGGAGATATGTATTTTTATATGATTCTGATACAGACCCTAATTGACATCCACAGTTCTCAGGAGAGTATGATCAACTATCATCCTTGGAATACCCATATCTTCTTTGCTTTTGTCTTTTTCTTGAATGCATTCACCTCTGTGGACAGGAGACAAATATTTTGCAATGCAGTTTCCTAAATAAGAGGAATAATATTTCAGGAAACAAGTTTCTATGCTGCACATAAAAAAGATCTTTGAAGGGGAAGCTTCAAGCAAACGACAGTTCTTTTCATAAAGAAATCATAATATGAAAACTCTAGGGATATAACAAATATATTCTCGACTGTGGTGGCAAGCTAAATAAAGTCCTTGAGCTAATTTTAATGGAAAAAGTTTCCACGTACACACTGAGTAAGTAGACATACTCTATAAATATATATTTCTTGAGCTCTAAAAAGCTACATGGGGGAATGCTAGAACAAATATTCAAATTGTGTGAGATGGGTGAAAGTGTAAAAGTAAACCCAGATTTCTTTAACACTGTGAAGCAAAATAAAATGTTTAGGAGACTGAGTTCCTATCTGTCCTTGAATAGATCAGTCTAATACCACTTTTTGCTCTAATCTAGCTGATTTCTTCACTTGTCTATATACAACTTTTTTCCTTATTTATTAATTGATTTGCATGATAGGCTTTGCTTCCTTATACATATTATTGCAACTAAAGCTGTATACCCTGTCCCACCCTTCCCCCAACTCCAATGCTACCATAAACTGTGTCTTAACTCATCCAGTGCAAATCCTGATCATTCTCTAATGCCTATCTTGTTTACACAAACACTGAACACTTAGTATGTGCCAGGCACTTGCTAGGTTCCATAGGGCAATGAACGGCAAATATAACCTTTAAGCGAATTGTATTACAGGTGTGAAATACAGCCTGAAATAAGTCTTGAATAGAAACATGGAGCTTCATTAGAGGTTATTGCAATAATCTAGGACAATGATTGTCAAAGTGTGGTCTCCAAATCAGCAAAATCAGAATCACCTAGCAACTTGTTAGAAATGCAAATTTCCTGCCCCATTTCAGACCTACCACATCACAAAACACAGGCCCCATCCCAGAAGTCTACACTGTAGCAAGCCTTCCAGGAGATGGTGGTGCAATTGATGCACACTAAAGTTTGTGAACCACTGACTTAGCAGAAGAATAGTAGGAGACAAGATTAGTGGCTGTGGATTTGGAGAGCAGAAAACACATTTTCCAGATGTTACTGACCTGAAGATGACAAGGAAAAAGTGAAATAACATTTGAGGTTTATGATTTGTGTGATTAATGCCTAGTGGAGCCTTTCACAGACATAGAAATATAAGAAAATATCAGGTTTGGGGTGGTCAGTATATAAAATTGATGGTTGCTTCATGTTGAGATGTGTCAGATCTGACATATTGGACATTTAAGTGGAGATGTCCAGAATAACAGGACAATACAGAGATCTGAGCAGAAGTAAAGGGATTAAGAGAAAGGTGATCTTAGGAGTGATTAAAGTTGAAGAGCTAATAAAAAAAGGGAGGGAGGAAGATATGATTTCACTTATACGTGGTTTATTAGTAAGCTAAACAAGTGGACAAACAATAAACACAAACCATAATGAGGTACCACCTTACACCTGGCAGAATGGCTAAAATCAAAAACACAAGAAATGACAACTGTTGGCGAGGATGTAGAGAAAAGGAAACCTATGTTCATGGGAATGAAAATTGGTGTAGCTACTGTGGAAACCAGTATAGAGGTTCCTCAAAAAATTAAAAATAGAAATACTATATGATCCAATAATTCCACTACTGGATACTTACCCAAAGAAAACAGAAACACTAATTCAAAAAGATATATACACTCCGATGTTTGTTGCAGCATTATTTATAATAGCCAAGATATGGAAGCAACCTAAGTGCCCATTGGTGGATAAATAAAGAAGACATGGTATAGATATACAATGGAATATTATGCATCCATAAAAAAGGGATGAGATCTTGTCACTTGGGACAGCATAGATGGACCTAGAGGGTATTATGCAAAGTGAAATAAATCAGACTGAGAAAGACAAATATCATGTGATTTCACTCATATGTGGAATCTTAAAAACAAAACAAGTGAATACACAAACAACATGCAGAATCAAATCTATAAATGTAGAGAACAAACTATTGCCAGTGGGAAGAGGGGTAGAGGGATGGACAAAATGGGAGAAGGGGGGTGGGAGATACAGGCTTCCATTTATGGAATGAATATGTCATGGGAATAAAAGGTGGACATTTACATGGAAATGTTCAGAATAGCAGGACAATAGAGAGATCTGAGCAGAAGTAAAGGTCTGTCTGATAGGGAATACAGTCAATGATATTGTAATAGCATTGTGCGGTGATAGATGGTAGCGAGACTTGTGGTGAGCATAGCATAACACATAGAGATGTTGGATCACTGTTGTACACCTGAAATTAATGTAACAATGTATGTCATCTATACTCAAATAAACATTAAAAAAAAAAAACAGACTCATAAATACAGAGAGCAAACTGGTGATTGCTAGAGAGAAAGTAGGCAGGGTGGGGGGAGGGGGGAGGAATGAGAAAAATAAAGGGGATTAAGAAGTAAAAACTTCCAGTTATAAAATAAATAAGTCACAGGCATGAAAAGTACAACATAGAGAATATAGTCAATAATATTATAATAATATTGTATGGTGACAAATGGTGACTACACCTGTCACTGTGGGCAGTTTATAATATATAGAACTGTCAAATCACTATGTCATACACTCAAAACTAACATTCTATATTAATTATACTTCAGTAAAAAAAGAAAAACGGGTGGACGTCACCCAAGGAGAATATGAGAAGAAGTAACAGAAACTGAAGATGGAATTTGGAAAACACTCAACATTTAAAGAATAGATAATGGCAGAACCTGGAAGAGGAAAAACATAATCATGGTGTTTTAAAAATTCAGCCAGGCAATCGTTACAAGAAGGAAGGATTAATCAACAATTATAAATGTCACAAAGATGGGCACCTGGCTGGCTTAGTCAGAAGACTCTTCATCTAAAGGTCATGGGTTCAAGCCCCACATTGGAGGTAGAGATTACTTAAATAAACAAAAAACTTAAAAGAGATAATAAATGTCACAAAGAGATTAATATAAGGAGAGAAATATGCCCATTACATGTAAAAATGAAGATAGTTATATAACTTTGCTAAGAGAAATTTCATTGGCAAACAAATGAGATTATAGTAGGAGAAAAAAATGAATGGATTAGGACTTCTGGTTTCAGCTCCAACATGTAAAAGCTTACAATTCATCACTCTTATTCTTACAACCAAAAAATTGGACAAACTACAAATAAATAACTTTTGTTGAACTTACCAGAGAACTGAGGTTTCAGGGAAAATCATTACCTCAAAATTGGGAGAGAAGGATCATTTAGGAAGAGAGATACCAGATATATTTATCTGAAGTAGAAGCCACTGGAGACATAAACTGATAGGAACACTTAAAAAGTAATTTTGGAAAATTGCTGGAAGATGACAATGGACTAGCATGAGTGTGACAAACCCCTGGGAACGTCCATAATGAGAGGGCGGGCCTACGCCGGCTGACTCCATCTTGTTCTGTGTCCTTCACCTTGACCATGCCTCCTCCCCTTGAGTAACCTCCGGCTCACCTGCCTAACAGGACTCGGACCCTTCCCAGCCAATCGGCTGAGGCCACAGCCATTACCTCACCAACTGCCCCTGGGCCCCAGTAAAACCTTTGTCCTTTTGAAACTTGTTCTCTCTCCCCGGCATCTCACCGCTGCGTAGGTGCAGGTAGGGGATTGAGCTCGAGCTAGCTCGAATAAAGGCTCTTTTGCTTTTGCATCGGTCTCGGCTCCCTGGTGGTCTTTGGGGATCACGAATTCTGGGCATAACACATAATATCGTGGGCACTCCTTCCAGGTGATGGTCCAGTAAAGATTTCTACCTGAGGAGTGGCTACATGGCTCAGTCGGTTGAGCGCCTGACTTCAGCTCAGATCGTGATCTCACAGTTTGTGAGTTCGAGCCCCATGTAGGGTTCTGTGCTGACAGCTCAGAGCCTGGAGCCTGCTTTGGATTCTGTGTCTCCCTTTCTCTCTGTCCCTGTCCCGCTTGCACTCTGTCTCTCTCTCAAAAATATATAAACGTTAAAAAAAAAGATTTCTCCCTGAACCAGTCATGGTGAGGGAGAGATTCCACTCTAGGGTTATGGGGATAGCCAAACACGCAACAGCTGACACTTGACATATGAATTTTACTGCAATTTATTAGTCACATATTCTCACAGTCCAAGAGTAGAGAACACCACATGCAATGTAGGAATTCATGGGAGTTTCACTTGGGAAAAGAGTGAAAAATCAAGGGCTGTAGGAGGCAGCTTTGTAGGAGTAAAAGGGTGCAGTGACCCTGAGTTTCTACATAAGGATGTAATTGGTTTGTTTCATTAAGTCTGTGAGCTGTCAGGGAAATGAAACCCACTATACTCCAGATAAACAGGAACAGCATGTGATCCGTTTGATAGGGAGGGTTGTTGGGTAGGGGATTTTATCCAAGGGAGCAGAGTGAGGAGGATATAATCAGGTTTTCTAGTTTCTGTACTGGAAGCTTTGACACCTGGGCCCTGCTGATCCTGGAGACACTGTCCCTCCTAGGGCTAGCCAATTCCTACAGATAATAAAGGACTTGCCTGGGAGTGTACCTTTTATATGCAAACCAACACATTCAAAGCCCACAGCTCTCTGAATTTGTTAAATTCTTATACTTCAGGCCATTATTCCCTAGCTCTAGTCACCCCAGGATCAGGTGCCAGACAACTAAGGATAGGCTCGATACCCCCAAGCCTATTGTAATTATTCCAACTAGTCAAATCTAAGCCTGTTTACCCTGCCCTGCCTGTTTCTCCCTTGTCTACATTCCTCCCCTTGCTCCCTCTGTCTGCTGATCAACCCTAGTGCTTCCACATGAGTGCAGAGTTGTGTGCAGTGCCTCTTGTTTCTAGGGATCTGTGAGTATACAGGCTTCTTCCTGAAGGACACTCATGTTGGTGACAGCATGTCTCACCATGTCTGATTAAAACAAATCCCAGCTACCTTTAAAGAGAGGGCGAATTGGGTTA